AGGAAATTGCCAGGAGTGTTTATAGGGTGAGACACTGATATCAAACACCAGTTCTGGAGCTTGTCTCATCACCCAAAAGGCAGAATTGAGGCTCTGAAGAGAGTGTCTGGATGCATCTCTGGAGCAGCTGAGTAAGAGATTTGATAAGGAAATTGCCAGGAGTGTTTACAGGGTGAGACACTGCTATCAAACACCAGTTCTGGAGCTTGTCCCATCACCCAAAAGGCAGACTTGAGGCTCTGCAGGGAGCTTTACCTGTGGGATCAGGAAGGAGCTGAAGAGCTTGGCAGTGAGCAGGCACAGGTCCGACTTGTGGGGCCCGATGACGGCGGTGACGCGCGGCCGGTACTCGCTGTAGTCGCACAGGACCCCGATGGCCCTGCTGCCCTTCTGGGTGAGGAAGAGGAGGCCGGGCTGCAGGGCCACCAGGGGCTCGAAGCACGTGTCGTACATGTCGTAGCCCAGGGTGACTCCCGGCAGCAGCCGGCTGCAGTTGTTGATCTGCTCGACGGCAAATTTCATGGCCAGGGCCCAGATGAGCCCGTCCGTGAATAACCTGGCAGGGGACACGGGGACGTGGCCTGGGGCAGCTGGCTCCTCGCTTATACGTATTTTTATATAATTATTGGCATAACGGATTTCTATATTTTATATAATTATTGGCATAACTGATTTCTATACGTATTTTTATATAATTATTGGCAAAACTCATTTCTATATGTATTTTATATAATTATTGGCAGAACTGATTTCTATATGTATTTTATATAAGTATTGGCATAACTCATTTCTATATGTATTTTCATATAATTATTGGCATAACTGATTTCTGTATGTATTTTATATAAGTATTGGCAGAACTGATTTCTATATTTTATATAATTATTAGCATAACTGATTTCTGTGTGTATTTTATATAATTATTGGCATAACCGATTTCTATATTTTATATAATTATTAGCAGAACTGATTTCTGTATGTATTTTATATAAGTATTGGCAGAACTGATTTCTAGATGTATTTTTATATAAGTATTGGCAGAACTGATTTCTGTATGTATTTTATCTAATTATTGGCATAACTGATTTCTATATTTTATATAATTATTAGCAGAACTGATTTTTATATGTATTTTATATAATTATTAGCATAACTGATTTTTATATGTATTTTTATATAATTATTGGCATAACTGATTTTTGTATGTATTTTATTGATTCATTTACAATTTAAGCATTTGCTTCACTTCAAGCATTTGATTAACTTACAGTTTAACTGTTTGATTCATTAACTATTTAACTGTTTAACTGATTCATTTACAACGTGTTTGCTTCAATTTAACTGATCCATTTACAATTTAAGTGTTTGATTCAATCTAACTGATCCATTTACAATTTAAGCATTTGATTCATTTACAGTTTAAACTGTTTGATTCATTCACTATTTAACTCTTTGATTCAATTTAACCGATTCATTTACAATTTAAGTGTTTGATTCAATTCAACTGTTTGCTTCAATTTAAGTGCTTGATTCATTTACAATTTAAGCATTTGATTCATTTACAGTTTAATTGTTTGATTCATTAACAATTTAACTGTTTAACTGATTCATTTACAACGTGTTTGATTCAATTTAACTGATCCATTTACAATTTAAGTGTTTGCTTCAATTTAACTGATCCATTTACAATTTAAGTGTTTGCTTCAATCTAACTGATCCATTTACAATTTAAGTGTTTGCTTCAATCTAACTGATCCATTTACAATTTAAGTGTTTGATTCAATCTAACTGATCCATTTACAATTTAAGTGTTTGATTCAATCTAACTGATCCATTTACAATTTAAGTGTTTGCTTCAATCTAACTGATCCATTTACAATTTAAGTGTTTGATTCAATCTAACTGATCCATTTACAATTTAAGTGTTTGATTCAATCTAACTGATCCATTTACAATTTAAGTGTTTGCTTCAATCTAACTGATCCATTTACAATTTAAGTGTTTGATTCAATCTAACTGATCCATTTACAATTTAAGTGTTTGATTCAATCTAACTGATCCATTTACAATTTAAGTGTTTGCTTCAATCTAACTGATCCATTTACAATTTAAGTGTTTGATTCAATCTAACTGATCCATTTACAATTTAAGTGTTTGATTCAATCTAACTGATCCATTTACAATTTAAGTGTTTGCTTCAATCTAACTGATCCATTTACAATTTAAGTGTTTGATTCAATCTAACTGATCCATTTACAATTTAAGTGTTTGATTCAATCTAACTGATCCATTTACAATTTAAGTGTTTGCTTCAATTTAACTGATCCATTTACAATTTGTTTGCTTCAATTTAACTGATCCATTTACAATTTAAGTGTTTGATTCTAGCCCCGAGGAAGCCAGTGCTGCTAAAACCCTTTATCAAGTCCAGACTAAAGTCTGACAGCACCAAAAATCCACAAAACCATTTCCAGTTGGGGACCAGCTGACATCCCAGCGCTCCACCCCTCCAAGTCTCCTGTGCTCCATCCCAGAACCCCATATTTTCCCTTTTTTCCCCCAAAAGGCAGCCCTTACCTCTGGCAGAGCAGCAGGGTGGGCTCTGAGCGAGCGGTCAGGTTCACCGCGTCCTTCCCGAAGGGGAACAAACCCCCCAGGACAAAATCCCCCGGCCGCCTGAACTGGGCCGAGAGGCACGAGGGGCTCAGGGAGGCAGCACAGCCACAGCCCAGGCACAGCCACAGCCCTGGCAGCTGCATTTTGGGGAAAAACTGGGAAAAGGAAACTCAGCCCTTCCTGGCAAGTCCCTTTAAATAGAGATGGCATTGAATAATGGGGGGGAATTTGTTTGGTAAAATGCTGAAGTCAAAAGCACTGCCCCCATCCTGATTTCCTTTGCTCACTGAATAAATTTCCTTTACTCTGTGGGCAATAATCAAATACCCTCTGAGGGCACCTGGGTGCAAATCCTGATTTCCTTTGCTCAGTGAGTGGCTTTTACTCAGTGATTTACAAATTCATTGGCACTGCTGTGGAAATTTGGGTTCCTCTGGCACAGGTTCGTCAGGTGCTCCACTCTGATTCTGGAAAAAGATTTACACAACAATCATTTTTAGTTTTTAAATTTCAGGTCACCTTATCATAATAATAACCAAATCAGGGAGGCAGCACAGCCACAGCCCAGGCACAGCCACAGCCCTGGCAGCTGCATTTTGGGGGAAAAACCTGGGAAAAGGAAACTCAGCCCCTCCTGGCACATCCCTTTAAATAGAGATGGATGGGGGTGAATAATGGGGGTGAATTTGTTTGGCAAAATGCTGAAGTCAAAAGCACTGCCCCCATCCTGATTTCCTTTGCTCAGTGAATAAATTTCCTTTACTCTGTGGGCAATAATCAAATACCCTCTGGGGGCTCCTGGGTGTAAATCCTGATTTCCTTTGCTCAGTGGCTTTTACTCAGAGTGATTTACAAATTCATTGGCACTGCTGTGGAAATTTGGGTTCCTCTGGCACAGGTTCCTCAGGTGCTCCACTCTGGTAAAAGATTTACACAACAATCATTTTTATTTTTTAAATTTCAGGTCACCTCATCATAATAATAACCAAATCAGGAAGGCAGCACAGCCACAGCCCAGGCACAGCCCTGGCAGCTGCATTTTGGGGGAAAAACCTGGGAAAAGGAAACTCAGCCCTTCCTGGCAAGTCCCTTTAAATAGAGATGGATGGGGGTGAAGTGATGGGAATTTGTTTGGCAAAATGCTGAAGTAAAAAGCACTGCCCCCATCCTGATTTCCTTTGCTCAGTGAATAAATTTCCTTTACTCTGTGGGCAATAATCAAATACCCTCTGAGGGCTCCTGGGTGTAAATCCTGATTTCCTTTGCTCACTGAATAAATTTCCTTTACTCCGTGGGCAATAATCAAATACCCTCTGAGGGCACCTGGGTGTAAATCCTGATTTCCTTTGCTGAGTAGCTTTTACTCAGAGATTTACAAATTCATTGGCACTGCTGTGGAAATTTGGGTTGCTCTGGCAGAGGTGACAAAACTCAGCCCCACTCTGGTGAAAGATTTACACAACAATATTTTTTATTTCTTTGTTTTTTAAATTTGAGGTCACCTCATCATGGCAATAACCAAATCTTCCTGAGGGCAGGATTTGCCTGCAGAGGCCATTCCTAGGTCCCAGGCTTGGTGAGCTGTCACTCAGCTCTACTGATATTTTTTTAGGAAGTTTTTACTAGCTGATCTAATTTTTTTTCCCCCTCACACTGAACTAGAATATTAATTTCAGTTTAAATCTTAAATCTGAGTTCACAGCACGGTAATTTAGGGTTTTTTGCTGTATTTTATTGTTGGATTTTAGGACAGCTCTCAATGAGAAGTTCAATTTCCTGCATTTCTAGATCAGAAAACTGCTTTTGCTGCCACAGGGATGCTCCAAGGCTGGAATATTTTCCTTGCAGGAAGAAAAGCAGACACAGAGACCTGAAAACAGGAATGCACCAGCTGCAGCTGTGTTTTCCAGGTCTGTTCATACTGACATTTTACTGACATTTTTTTAAGCATCCTGTCCCTTTACTGGACTATTTAAGTGTCAGCTTTACCTATAAAAACTTTTAAAAATAAGTTCTAAACACAATCCTGAATTTTGGCCGAGTTCATCTTCAATATTAGTAATGGTAATTATAAATATGAATATTTATCTCTTAAGAGGAATAGTTAGAATGAGTGTGACAAGGGAGAAAAAACATTTTTCTTGTGGTCACACCATCATTTCTAGAGACCTAAATCCATTTTTTCCCCCTTAACACACATTATTTGATTTAGTTGAAGGTATTTAATTCACTGCACAGGTGAAATATCAGCTGGCCTGATCTCCAGGGAAATGAAAGAGATTTTTCCAGGGAAATAAACTCTGAACAGGTTTTCTGTAAATGCTGTTCCTGCCACCAGCACAGCCCCAGGTGTGATCCCACAAAGGACACTCCTCAAAACCACATTATTCACATCATTTAATGTCCAGTGAGTCCATCTCCATGAGGTAATAGTGATTTCCTGAATTTTTCACTGTTACAGAGAGAGCATCAGCCTGCAGCAGCCCTGCAGTCCTGGACTAACCCTGCAGGGCTCCTCCAGCCTCCCAAAGCTCAGCAAATCCCTTCTGAGCCCCTCTGGCTCTTCCAGGAGCAGGCAGAAACCTCCCCAAGCAGTGATTTACAGTACAAGTGTGGATTTCCCCCGCCAGAGAGGCAGAAAAATCCTTTTGGTAGGCATTGAACACATTGATAAAAATAAAAAAGAAACACACGAGAACACAAGTAGGAAGGAAACAGCTCCAGGCTGGGCTGGACAGAGGGGATTGTGCAGCAGGAATTAAAATGTGCTGCACATCCCAAGTGCAAAAACCATTAATTGAACAGGGGAGGGGCGCAGAGGGAAGGTGCTGCTGGGTGGATCCTGCTCCAGGAACGCTTTTCTCCTCCATCCACCCCCACAACGACAGGGAAAGGGCATTTCCCCAGCACTGAATCCTCCAGGTGGGGTTTTTGTACAAACCAAAGCGTGTAAATGAGTTCAGACACCACAGCTCCAATTTGTGCTGCCACACAAGGCCACAAATATTGCTGGAAATGCACAGAAGGCTGGAGTTGGGCTTCAGAAGAAAAACCTTTTCCAGCTTTGCTGGGAATTAAAAAAAAACCAATCCCTTAGCAGCTCATCCTAATGTGGAATTATTTTTTCTAATTCTACACGGCTCCTTTTAATGTGGATTTTTTTTCTAATTCTAGAGATGTTAAAAAAAAACCTGACAGATGTAAAAAAAAGTGTAAAAAAAACCCTGTTCCATGTTTATAAAGTGGAATAACTTGGCCATCAGCTCCAGGCTGAAAAGAAAAAGTGGAAATAAGCACAGACAGAGAACCAGAGGGTTGTGCTTGTGCAAAAATGTCATTGTCACCCATCAGGGCAGGTCGAGCAGCTTGTGCTGAGCAAAGAGCTCCTGGGTGATGCTGTAAGCTAGGAATAGAAAATAATAAATCCCTTAGCAGCTCAACCTAACGTGGAATTTTTTCCTAAATTTAGAGATGTAAGAAAAGAACTGAGAGATGTAAAAAAAGAACCGGTCCATGTTTATAAAGTGGAATAGTTTGGCCGACTTTCCATCTCCAGGCTGGAAAGAAAAAGTGGAAACAACCACGGACAGAGAACCACAGGCTCGTGCAAAAAAAACAAAACGTCATTGTCACCCATCAGGGCAGGTCGAGCAGCTTGTGCTGAGCGAAGAGCTCCTGGGTGATGCTGTACACATCGCCGATGTAGGGGATGGCCTCCCCCAGCATGGCCACGGCCTCCTCGGCCGAGCCCACGTTCATGATCTCCAGGAAAGCATCCCGCGACGGCAGCGTGCAGAAGGCCACGGTGGCTGCCTTGCGGACCACCCAGGGGTGGTGCTCGGCCAGCGAGGCGTTGTAGGCGTCGGTGCAGAGCACGGAGGTGCGCGGCTCGCCGGAGCGCAGCCCCTCGAGGAAGAGCTGCAGCCAGCGCAGGGCGCGGTGCAGCCGCAGCACCGTGCGGCAGCCGGAGTCGGGCCGGGCCCGCAGCGCCGCCGGCCCCGCCGCCAGCTCGTGCTGCACCAGCGACTGCAGCGACACGAAGCCGTGCTGCTGCCGGTGACCTTCCAGCAGAGCCACCTTGGCCACGGCGTCCTTGGAGATGAAGGAGAAGACGGCGCCCAGGCTCTGCAGGAAGCTGAGGGGAGACGGGGGTGGTGGGTTAGGTGAGTGAGGGGTGGGAAGAGAAGCGGAAAAAACAACTCCAAAACCACCTCAGGGGGCCAAAGAGATGGCAAAAACTCTAGAAGGGGTGAAAAGAGAAGCCAAAAAAAAGTCTGAGGGGGAAAAAGAAAACCCAAAAAGCATCTGAGGGGGGAAAAGAGATGGCAAAAACTCTCTGAGGGGTGACAAGAGAAGCCAAAAAAAAAGCCTGAGGGGGAAAAAGAAAACACAAAAAGCATCTGAGGGGGGAAAAGAGAAGGCAAAAACTCTCTGAGGGGCGAAAAGAGAACCCTGCTGAGCCCCTGCCAAAAAAACACCTGAGGGGTGAAAAGAGAAGCCAAAAAGCGCCTCAGGGGTGAAAAGAAGGCAAAAAAGCATGAGGGGGGAAAAGAGAAGGCAAAAACTCTCTGAGGGGTGAAAAGAGAAGCCAAAAAAAGACCTGAGGGGGAAAAAGAAAACCCAAAAAGCATCTGAGGGTTGAAAAGAGAAGGCAAAAAAAAAGTCTGAGGGGGGAAAAGAGAACCCTGCTGCAAGCCGCCAAAAAATACACCTGAGGGGGGAAAAGAGAAGGCAAAAACTCTCTGAGGGGTGAAAAGAGAACCCTGCCAAACCCCCTCGAAAAAAACACCTGAGAGGTGAAAAGAGAAGCCAAAAAGCGCCTCAGGGGGGAAAAGGGAAAGCATAAAAACACCTGAGGGGGGAAAAGAGAACCCTGCTGAACCCCCGCCAAAAAAACACCTGAGGGTTAAAAGAGAACCCCAAGACCACCTCAGGGGTGAGAAAAGGCAAAAAGCACGTGAGGGGTGAAAAGAGAAGCCAAAAACTCTCTGAGGAGTGAAAAGATAAAAAGCATCTGAGGGGTCAAAAGAGAACCCCAAAACCACTTGAGTGTGAAGCCATCGCTCCCTGCCCGGTCACTGCATCCTTCTGCCCACAGTCCCCCCGCTCGCTCCCGGGCACTCACCGGATGAGCCCCCGCCAGCCGCTCAGGTAGGGCTCCAGCAGCACCTCCCGCTGCTCCGTCACGCACCTCCGGAAGGCGTCCAGAACCTCCCTCAGGCTGAACGGACCCGCGGCGGCCGCCGCCATCGCTCCGCGGCGCCGCCTCCTCGTCTTCTTCCTCCTCCTCCTTCCCCATCCCGCACCGCCCGCTCGGCCAATCAGCGCCGCGTCCGTCACCCGCCGCGCCCCGCGGGCCAATCCGCTTCGCGTGCGTCATTGCTGCTCGGCCAATCCGCGCGGGGCGGCGCAGGCGCGGAGGAGGCGCCGGGCCTGCGGCTGGGCCTGGTTGAATTTGCGGGGTTTTGTGGGTTTTTAAATGGTTTTTTTGTGTGTTTTTGTGCTTTTTTTGTCTGTTTTTCTGTGTTTCTACACGTGTTTTCCCGGCTCCCAGCAGCGGTGGTGGATATGTCAGCCAAACGGGGTCGCTTTCCCACCGGTTGTTTATCACCTCGCGCGTGTCTTGTGTCTCTCCTCAGGAAAAAGTTTGGGCTCTGCTCGAGTCTTCGGCCGGATCCTGGAAGAATAATTGAAATGTCGCCTGTGAAACCAGCGAAATCCTCTCCTGTTGTTCGCCCCGCGGATCTGCTCCTGGAGTAATTTTCTGTGCGGGTGAAAAGAGAAGCCAAAAAAAAGCCTGAGGGGGAAAAAGAAAACACAAAAAGCATCTGAGGGGGGAAAAGAGAAGGCAAAAACTCTCTGAGGGGCGAAAAGAGAACCCTGCTGAGCCCCTGCCAAAAAAACACCTGAGGGGTGAAAAGAGAAGCCAAAAAGCGCCTCAGGGGTGAAAAGAAGGCAAAAAAGCATGAGGGGGGAAAAGAGAAGGCAAAAACTCTGAGGGGTGACAAGAGAAGCCAAAAAAACGCCTGAGGGGGGAAAAGAGAACCCTGCTGCAAGCCCGCCAAAAATACACCTGAGGGGTGAAAAGAGAAGACAAAAACTGAGGGGAGAAAAGAGAAGCCAAAAAGCACCTAAGGGGGGAAAAGAGAAGGCAAAAACTCTCTGAGGGGTGAAAAGAGAACCCTGCCAAACCCCCTCGAAAAAAACACCTGAGAGGTGAAAAGAGAAGCCAAAAAGCGCCTCAGGGGGGAAAAGAGAAAGCATAAAAACACCTGAGGGGGGAAAAGAGAACCCTGCTGAACCCCCGCCAAAAAAACACCTGAGGGTTAAAAGAGAACCCCAAGACCACCTCAGGGGTGAGAAAAGGCAAAAAGCACGTGAGGGGTGAAAAGAGAAGCCAAAAACTCTCTGAGGAGTGAAAAGATAAAAAGCATCTGAGGGGTCAAAAGAGAACCCCAAAACCACTTGAGTGTGAAGCCATCGCTCCCTGCCCGGTCACTGCATCCTTCTGCCCACAGTCCCCCCGCTCGCTCCCGGGCACTCACCGGATGAGCCCCCGCCAGCCGCTCAGGTAGGGCTCCAGCAGCACCTCCCGCTGCTCCGTCACGCACCTCCGGAAGGCGTCCAGAACCTCCCTCAGGCTGAACGGACCCGCGGCGGCCGCCGCCATCGCTCCGCGGCGCCGCCTCCTCGTCTTCTTCCTCCTCCTCCTTCCGCATCCCGCACCGCCCGCTCGGCCAATCAGCGCCGCGTCCGTCACCCGCCGCGCCCCGCGGGCCAATCCGCTTCGCGTGCGTCATTGCTGCTCGGCCAATCCGCGCGGGGCGGCGCAGGCGCGGAGGAGGCGCCGGGCCTGCGGCTGGGCCTGGTTGAATTTGCGGGGTTTTGTGGGTTTTTAAATGGTTTTTTTGTGTGTTTTTGTGCTTTTTTTTGTCTGTTTTTCTGTGTTTCTACACGTGTTTTCCCGGCTCCCAGCAGCGGTGGTGGATATGTCAGCCAAACGGGGTCGCTTTCCCACCGGTTGTTTATCACCTCGCGCGTGTCTTGTGTCTCTCCTCAGGAAAAAGTTTGGGCTCTGCTCGAGTCTTCGGCCGGATCCTGGAAGAATAATTGAAATGTCGCCTGTGAAACCAGCGAAATCCTCTCCTGTTGTTCGCCCCGCGGATCTGCTCCTGGAGTAATTTTCTGTGCGGGTTTGGGACCCGGAGTGGAGTAAAAATGCCTGAGATCAAAGTCACCCCCTTGGGTAAGTCCGGCCTAAAATCGCCTTGGAATGCAAGCACTGAAACCCTGCGGGGTTTGCAATTCGGGTTGTATTTGGAATCCCTGATGTGATTCCTCTCTGCCTTCCCTTGGCTTTTCCAGTTACTGTTTGGATTAATTAATCAGGATTAATGAAGTTATCCTTGTAAAGGTATTGGTGTTGTGGAGCATTAATTCACCATGGTGCTAAAGAGCCGCAGAAAGAAAACATTTCTTATTTTTTCCCTGTTTAATCTTTTTAAAATGAGTTTTGTAGTGAGAGGGCAGAGGATGTGCTGAGCAGCAGATCTGCTTTATCCTCATGGATAATTTTCAGCCTTGCTGTGGGTTTAAATTAATGAGGCTTAACGAGGGCAGAGCAGCTGGAAAAGGAGTTCTGATCCTTGCCAGATTTTCTCTCCTTGAAACTGCAATTGCAGGAAGTTTCTGCATCCTTTACCTGCTTTTGTTTTTGCAAGAATTGCAGCTTTCCCCAGAGGTGTTTCACCAGCGTCTTACTGGTGTTTTATTGATATTTTGCTGGTATTTTGCTGATGTTTTATTGGTATTTTGCTGATGTTTTGCTGGTATTTTCCTGCTGTTTTATTGATGTTTTGCTGCTATTTTGCTGGTGGTGTTTTATTAGTGTTTTGCTGGGTTTCTGCTGGTATTTTGTGGTATTTTGCTGGTTGCATTTTGCTGATATTTTCCTGGTGTTTTTCTGGTGTTTTATTGGGATTTTGTTGGTATTTTGGTGGTGGTGTTTTCTTGATGTTTTGCTGATGTTTTACTGGTATTTTGCTGGTGGTGTTTTATTTGTGTTGTACCAATGCTTTACTGATATTTTGTGATGTTTTCCTGGTGTTTTCTTGGGGTTTTATTGTGTTTTGCTGGTGGTGTTTCATTGGTGTTTTGCTGGAGTTTTCCTGGTGTTTTGCTGATATTTTATTGGTGTTTTGCTGATATTTTACTGGTATTTTCTTGGTGTTTTATGATATTTTCCTGGTGTTTCTTGCTGTTTTTTTTGCTGCTATTTTGCTGGTGGTGTTTTATTAGTGTTTTGCTGGGTTTCTGCTGGTATTTTGTGGTATTTTGCTGGTTGCATTTTGCTGATATTTTCCTGGTGTTTTTCTGGTGTTTTATTGGGATTTTGTTGGTATTTTGGTGGTGGTGTTTTCTTGATGTTTTGCTGATGTTTTACTGGTATTTTGCTGGTGATATTTCCCTGTTGTTTTATGACATTTTCCTGGTGTTTTTTGCTGTTTTCCTGTTGTTCTATGAAATTTTCCTGTTGTTTTGTGATATTTTCCTGGTGTTTTATGATATTTTCCTGTTGTTTTATGATATTTCCCTGTTGTTCTATGACATTTTCCTGGTGTTTTGTGCTGTTTTCCTGGTGTTTTATGATATTTTCCTGGTGTTTTTTGCTGTTTTACTGGTGTTTTATGATATTTTCCTGTTGTTTTATGATATTTCCCTGGTGTTTTATGACATTTTCCTGGTGTTTTGTGCTGCTTTCCTGGTGTCCAGGTGCCGGGCAGGACGTGGGCAGGAGCTGCATCCTGGTGTCCATCGCCGGCAAGAACGTGATGCTGGACTGTGGCATGCACATGGGCTACAACGATGATGTGAGTGTCCCCTGGGCCAGGGGGGACACTGTCCTGTCCCTCCTGCATGTCTGGCCTCCTCCATCCTCCCCTGCAGGGGCTGGGCTGTGCCAGAGCTGCTCTGTCCCCTTCCAAAATCTCCCTTCCCCTCACGTTTTCCATGAAATGTCAGCCCCTCCTTTCCCTGCCTCGTGGACTTGGGGAAAATGTTTATTATTGCAGCTGCAAATGCTCCATTCCAGGTGGGTTTGGACTCTGGGGGTTTGCTGGGAGCAGGAATCCTGTCCTTAGCTTTGGGGCAGCTCGTTCAAATGTTTCACACCACATTTCTGCTGCTCCAGGGAGAGAGAAGGAAACTCCTGGTTTTGGCTTCCCTGCCCCAGCAGGAAAGGAATAATGGCACAGATATTCTGCAGGATTGAGTTCAAGCAGCAGATGTGCTGTGACAGGAAAGCTTTTGGGGCTTTGTGCCTCAGAGCCAGGGTGTGTTCAGCACCTGTGTGACTTGGGACATAAAATGACTTATTTATGAAAGGGTCAGTTTCTGTCTGTCCCCTCATTTCTGCTTCTCCCTGCACACAAAAGCTGCTGGTGCTGCCTGGAGAGGGCTCAGCACATTCCCAGTGTCCCATTCCTTCCATTTTTTGTTGGATCACTGGTGCTGGTGCTGCCTGGAGAGGCCTCAGCACATTCCCAGTGTCCCATTGTCCCATTCCCTCCACGTTTTCTGGTGCATTCCTGATGGATTTCCTGTTTCCCCCTGGCTGCAGAGGCGCTTCCCTGACTTCTCCTACATCACCCAGAACGGAAGGCTGACTGATTTCCTGGACTGTGTCATCATCAGGTGAGGCTCCTTCCTTGTCCCAGCACTTCCCAAGCCCATCCCTCACATTTTACCTGCTTTTCCCCCATCCTGCACACCTACAAAATATCTGAGCCCCCCAAGCTCAACCCGTTGTGGCTTTTTTTTTTTGCTTTTTTCTTTATTTTCAGCCACTTCCACCTGAGCCCCCCAATCTCAACCCGTTGTGGCTTTTTTTTGCTTTTTTCTTTATTTTCAGCCACTTCCACCTGGACCACTGTGGGGCTCTGCCCTATTTCAGTGAGATGGTTGGCTATGACGGCCCCATCTACATGACCCACCCCACCAAGGCCATCTGCCCCATCCTGCTGGAGGACTACAGGAAGATCACCGTGGACAAGAAAGGGGAAACCAACTTCTTCACCTCGCAGATGATCAAGGACTGCATGAAGAAGGTGGTGGCTGTGCACCTGCACCAGACCGTGCAGGTGAGGGCCTTTGGACTCAGGGCTGCAATTAGGAGTGTAGCTAATTAATCCAGGGGTGCAGTTAGGAGTGTAGCTAATGAATCCAGGGGTGCAGTTAGGAGTGTAGCTAATGAATCCAGGGGTGCAGTTA